AATATGTTCTGAGATAGGGCAAGTTTACTTATAAGAATGCCAAAGCAAAAAAAAAAAAAAAATTACCATTGGTCAGAACAAATTAGATTAAACTGGTTCAAAAATATATTGAACCTGAACTACAACATCTACAACACAACATTCCTTTACAACATTGTAAAGGAATAGACCTAATCGGCTTCAACCCAATTCAAACCACCCGGGAGTAAGTTTCATTGTTCGTTGTATTTTCATTTCACAGTTGAATTCTTAGAAACAAAAGTTCTTTTTCCCGCAGGATTTGAATTGGGTGGCAACGTACATAGCAACGCCGTTAGCCGATTAGGTCTATTGAAAAGGTCTAAAACAAGCGTCGATTTAAAACCGGCACGTTTATTTATTTCCGGCATGTCATTTTTTTGCCTATTCAATAGGTAAAGTGCGTCAGGATACCTAYTGAATAGGTAAAAAGTATCAGTATACCTAGTAGACTAGGTATTAAGGACATAGTACCTATTTGAATAGGTATTACAACCAGAATACCTAGCGTAATAGGCATTGCGTACCGTTATACCTAGCGTACTAGKTATTTTGCACAAATATACCTAGTGAGTAGGTATTTTCAGAAGGGATAAAACAAAATCTTAAATGATGATTGACAAGCTTTTTCTTCTGGAGCTGGTGTACTATTAATAGTCCAATTATTGGTTGCGGAACGCGAAGAACGTGATGTAAACAACAAGTCGTGATCAAGTCGCCGGTGAACGTTTTATTAAATACACGGTCTTGGTTATCTTTTTTGAAAGATGCACGCATTTCATTTTCAGCGTGTCAGTTTATAATTCAGCAAAAGTTCATGGTTACCCTGGTTCTGGAGGCTTGTCTTTTATTCTTTTTAAAAAGCTTTTACTATGTTGTCGAGCCGCGAAGCAGACATCGAGACGTTTCCGTTAATCGGTTTGTTYTCATGCCCAAAAACAATGATGTCAAATAATATCTCACGTCTTGTTCAGTTGATGGGACTTATTCCCTTTATTTTAGAACGGCAATCGTCTATTATATGAAAACGTCACACACGTTTTAAAATCATTTTTGTCGATTGGAGTTTGCATTTATATACGTTGACCGCGTTGTTGATGTTCAGTCTTGATCGACTTGAAAAACTTCAAAACAATAAATTACGTAGACTTTTACAATAATGCGAACTGAAAAAGATGCTATGGCACATGCATTGAAAGAAATAGTATATACAAACATTAGGGAATATCAAAGCCAGGTTTCAGAAGCATATTTGAGCCGCAAAGACGTCTACATTCATGGCCGAATGTCGGTGAAAGGTCAAGGCACTAATCATGTACATCTCTGAATGATGATTGGCCAGAGTTTCGCGCCAAATATCGGTCCCTGCGATTCGATTCCTGCAAGCGYGGGTGTAGGATTGTATGAAGGCTAGGCTCAGTTGATGCAAGTGAAGTTGTTCGGTTCTGGAACTACACTGGAAACAGCCAAGCTAAATCCAATATCTTATCCAAGAATTCACACAATTATGTTATAGGAATATAGCGATCTCATTTTCATTAGAAACACAGTTGATTGAATCTTACTGTTTGAACAAAATTTTKCCGCGCCGAGAACGTAGTAAACTGTCAAGAATGTAACTATAAACACCGATATACCTAGGAATTAAAAATACTTTGAAAAATACGTATTTTACTCATAGAGCACAAAACACCTAGTGGAATAGGCATTTGTGACCATATTATACTCATTCACGACAGCGAAGCGTTTTTGGCTCACAGTTCATAGATCGAGCAAACCTAGTGGAATAGGCATTTTTTTCATAGAGCACAAAAATACCTAGTGGAATAGGTATTTGTGACCATATTATACTCATTCACGACAGCGAAGCGTTTTTGGCTCACAGTTCATAGATCGAGCAAA